CTTCGAAGGTTGTTAATTGATTATCCGTGAGCCGTCATCGTCATCATCATGGATATCTGTGTTATCGAAAGAGCTGCGGAGACACTTTTGGTTAGTTTTGTATCAGCGGTCTTAACGAATTTCTTTTTTCATTTATCGGCTGTTTAAACTGGTTAATCGCTCCCCTGAAGGCAGAGAACGAGGATTTTAAGATGATCCTCTTTTCCTTGATTACTTGCGTTGTGGTTCTCCAATATGTTAGCTGAATGGTCATTTGAGGAAGCTGAGACTCTCAGAAAACTGTAGTCTCCCTCTGTCTGCTTCAGTTGTAGTACAGAGCTCGGAGTGGCGTCGGGTAGAGTGCTCTACACAAACGGGAAGCCTCAGGAAGTAGAAACGATTTTGAAGATTTGTAAATTTGGGCTTCAGACTAGTTCGAGCAATGTATGGAAATAAATGTCACAGGCTTGCAATTCAGCAGAGCTTTTATTCTGGGACTGGTTGTGAAGAATTGTAGTGAGTACGAAATTGCAGCCATCCCCAGAGCTTTTAAGAGCATTTTCGAGCAGACGGTTATTGGTAATTTTGCTTAATTGAACAATTGCTGTGCCTTTGAATTTGTCGAAAAATTCTCCTTCATGCCAAAATTAAGAACATTGAGATCATTCATCAACTATCCTGAACTAGTGTGATGATTTCTATCACGATGACTTGGTAGCCATGCGATGGAAAAGATGGAGAACCGCTGAATATCTATCCCAGTTAGGGGGACATCATGATGCAGTTTTTCCAGAAAGCTAGGGGGAGTGTAGCCAGTCTAGGGGGTGGGGGGGGGGGGGTGAGGGCAGTCACTTGACATGCGTGAAAAGCTGGAATGTTCGAGTTCACACTAGTTCGCCGAGAAACTGCATCATGATGCCCCCCTAACTGGAATAGACCCTGCGTATTTAGTTTACGAAATGAATTACTGGGGAAGACGATGCACAAGTCAATGGTTTCAATGCCCCCGTTGGGCACCAAACAAATTAACTTGGAGATGAGATTGAGATGTGGTAGTTGGCATTGACGGATTCGATTCGATCCGTGATTGTGACCCGTTATTTCAATTACACTGATTGGATCCAATATTGTGGGTCCAATATCAAATCATTTACGAGTTTGTTTACATAAAAAGTGCCATTGTTAAGATAGAGCTGTCTCCTTCAGGGTCCGCCAAATCTTGTGTCAGCGGAAAGTCGGCGTGAAGCAGAGCAGCTATTCCACAACATCAAGCAGGAACTTACCATTGAGGCTGCCGGGCAAGTGATACGTAGGTGCACTACCTTAATTGGTTTCTCTGAGAAATTCCCGTCGTTTCCGTAGCCTCATTGCTGGGAGCCTTCCCGCTAACTTTGATAAGTCGTGAAGAGAAGCAGTTTTTCAGAGAACACGAAGAATCAATGCGTTCTCTTTTCAAATTGCACAAATGACCGGTGAAATTGTATTGCGTGACTGGGTGTTGCTGTCGAAAGAGCAGATCATTCATACTTATAAAATGTTGTTGGAATTCGTTGCACAGAGAGAAGAGTGAGTAAATTCTTTTTGGTTTGTTCTCCTTATAACGACCAATTACCACAGTCCGTGGCTTCTCTGCCTTAAGAGCACCAGGTCTGGTCCCGGATTTTTTCAAGGCAACGCGTATTGCCAAAATCTTCACGATCGCAGACTTTACGGAATTGAGAGTTTGTTACTGATTGTGAACTAAGTAGCGCACTACTCCTTTTTATATATTATCAAGTGTGTCCGTTTCAGTGATTTGTTGACCAAATGATGGCTACAAGCTAGGTGGCGGTTATTCGATCAAGGAAATAGGAAACACTGTGCGACTGCTGTGGTTCATTTCAGCTTATCGAATTATGCTCAGACGGAGTTCCTCCGCTCCGTGGCGATGATTCTTAAGCGCGGCATCATCGATGAGAAAACTGGTGACCAAGAGGAGCTTTTCGAATTGATTCATAACCTTCTTGTTAACCAACATGCGCGATTGGTGAGTCTTTTCTTGTCTCACAGTTGTTTCCATTGAAAGGCCACATACTGTATGCTTCAATTCATGTTTTTTTGGCGTGTTTCAGCAAGTCATCGGAGGAAACTGATCTCTGCAATCACACAACAGTTCTCTTCATCATGGAGGAATGCAAAATTCAGTATCACTTGGGATTTCCATGTAAGAGCAAAGACTAAATTTGAGGTGAATTGCTTTGCACTCTTTTTATTTTTGTTTTTTTTTTTTCCATTTGTTTTCTACTTTTCCTATTGCGTTTACGATTTGAGCTGGTGCTCGGAAGGTTGAACAATTGGCTGTTAATGAAGTTCAAGTTAATCGAATTTCATGTACAGACCTCTTCCTTCGCGAAACTCCTTGATTTTCTCCTCAGGACTTCCTAATCATCAATCAAGCTTGCGTCACAGAATCTGCTTCAATGGTCTTGCTGAGTTGGAAAGGGCAGCAAGAGACTTTTTCGCTTTCCGCAGCGAAGGTTTTTCGTAGAACAGGTGCTGAAGATGTTGTGATTGTAAAAAAATTGGGTAATTCTCGGAACGCCATTTTCGACTGTGATTTCAGCCTACACTAGCATATTCTCTAGGATAGTAAATTTTTTGTAGCATTGAATACAAGGCCGGCACTGGAGAAGGCCGTTTCTTCGAGTTTTGTTTACGTTAGAGTTCCACATTCGTATAACTTCGTATAATGTATGCTATACGAAGTTATTACGTCACTTTTCAGGACATGGTCTGAGGCGGTTGCTAGAAATGTCGCTGAAGACGCTTCATGCCTTACTCTCGCAAACAAATATCCTATCCGATGAGTTTGCGCACAGAATTTGTGGAAAATTCTTGGAGGTGTGCTTTTTTTATAAATGTGCTGCTCTGTGCTCGTCGTCAAACTTCAAGGTTTATCATTAAGGTTGCCGAAACTACTTTATCATGGAATTTTGCTTCAAAGATTTTTCGACGGGTATTTTCTTTGTGCCAGGTTGGTAACTTACCTCGACAAAGAGGCTTTCACTGTTGTAAGTGAACCCAATCTTTCTGACTTCAGACAACGAATTCGTTTCGGCCGCCAGCCTCATGGAAGGATTTGTTAGAGAATGACGAGTTCTTCACACTGTTTTTCCAGGTTGGGTGTGAAATAAAGATCACAGACGCTTCAGAAATCTAAGTACAGTGTTTCAGCTGCATTCGAAAATTCGGACCGATGAGGATCTTTCAATACATTCGCTTTCGTGCCTAGTCCAATTAGCTGGTCTATCCGGTGAAGTGATGGCTTCGTCTGAGTTCACTGAACATTATGTAAAGCTTTATATTGGATCACTAATGGATCTTTTCGCAGAAGGTATTTTTTGCAGTTTACCACCCCAATTGAACTTTTTACTCCTGGAAAAGGTTTTCCATAAATGGGTGACCTTGATGTTGTAAGCATTTTTTAACTCCGACGTTTCTGCTTCTTTCTCCTATGTATAGCTTTTGCTTCTTTTGAACATTCATATCGATCCCATTATTTTTATTTGCTCGTTTACTTTTTGTTTGCTGTTTACTTTTCTAAATTCATAATTTCTATTTTGACTTCGAGTTTCGGCAATTTCCCCACTATAGCTGAGATTCAGTCAAAGTTTTGGGTGATAGAATTATAGTGCTTACTGTTTTTATTCTTCAGGTCCACTTCCGCATGAAATCAACTATTTCTGTACAATTGTGAATCGCCTGTTCCAGTATCGTCCTATTCAGACAATAATGCGGGTAGGACCGGAACTCCGAAGGAAATTTCTTATTTATCTGTCTCAATATATTCAACACCTTACAAATCAAGCAATGTACACTGCAATTGTGAGTTTTCATTGCTATTTACTGTTTTTTAGAGTAAAAGTAGGTGATAACTGAGATTTTTCTGATAGGGTCGAGGAGAACACGATGACCATCACTCTCTTGCTCTACTGTTCGACTCATGGACACTTCTACTACGGGGTCGTTGGAGATTGGAGCTAACGCAGGAGGAAGAAACGATGATAGGTTTGTTGTTTTCATGGAAACTCCCTCCCGCCGCCGAAGTGTAGCACGCGTGTAACGCCCGTAATACAACCTTTTAAGGAGTTGTACAACGCTTTTTCTCGTTGCACTTCGCGCTAAATCGCCGCGTGTTACTTTAGGTGGCCGACTTGCGCCGACTTGCGCGGCAACTCGAGCAAAAAAGAGGGCGGAGATTTGGTCGTTGCTATAATTTTTTGCTTTCAGATAATGAGCTGATCATTGGGCCAAATCTGCAAATTGTTAAGCGCTTTGTGGAATGTGTTCAAGCGCCACCCATTGGCTGCCGTGCACCCATCTTCACAGGTGGTGACGATGATGACGAGGACGATAGAACAGTATGTTATGAAATTTCACTGCTTATTGGGTCTCACCCTCAAGTTTTTTTTTCTTAGCTTTTTCTGGATCTCCTCACTCCACTGGGTACGATGGCGTGCTACAGTGTTCGTGAATTTATGGACATGATGATTCAGTAAGTTTCTGCGCTAGTTATGCTTTTTTGCCACATTTGTTTACTTATTATGCGGCTTCGCTTGAATTTTGATTCACAGTTTAATTCGTGAGCACGTATCCGAGTTCCAACAGATGGCATCTGGATCAGCAGATTTATCTCGACTGCCTTCTTGGCAGGAAGATATGCACTGGCTGTTACTGATTATCGGTAAGCACGACTGTTTTTCCAAAAGTGAAGTAGTGGTGTCGAAGTCATGGGCAGACTCCCGCAATGCGCCACGCATTGGGATTTCATCGGGAATCAATTTTGCGCTTCATTTCGCTGCAGTTTTGAAGGGTTTCTCTCTGATCTTTCTGTTTAGTGCGATAAAGGAATCAAAGATGTTTTCCATTATTCTCCGTGATCTCCTCCAATTAATGTGGCTTGCCCTTTTCAGCTAACTCCGTAGTGAGTGAGGATATCGATGGAACGTGTCGCACGGAGGGAGACGTCTTTGAAAGCTCGGTTGCAATGGTGAATGAGAGGGGACACGTTTATAGGTGGGTTCTAAAAGAATGGGCTCTTGTGAAGGTTCTACCGAAGTGTCAAACTTTACTATAATTTAGCCTGGAACATACGGACTCATTCCTTTGTCAGTGCATCGAAAATCCAGCTGCCGACAGATCGCAGGCTAATGACCGAGTCGACCCATACCTGCGGTGAGTTCGCCTTATGATGTTCCTTCAAAGAACGACTCCATTGAAATTTTCAGGCTAATTGGTGAAGTGCTAGCGTGGGCGTCTCCTTAGAACATCAACTAGTGTCCGAAGGCCGTGGCGAATTTCATCAGTCCAGAGCTACGAGGTCTGTCTTATAAGCTTTTCAGTTGTGATGTTCACTCCTTGTGAAATTGCATCTTTGTGCACCCAAAGTCCCACGGGTCATTTGTTCAGATTATTGAAACGTCAATCATATTATCCATCTTGAAGTAGAGTCTGCATCATTGTGAATCTCTCTTTCGGTTCGTAGTTGCGTGAGAGGGTAGTTGAGCGACAGGGTGGCCATGATGTAGATGGGTGATGGAATGTCGGATTCCAAAGAGGAGCCTTCGCTGCGACCCAAGGCGGAGACGAGTAGGTTCGAACGATCGCAGCTCGACGTAGCGGTTGGCGTCAGCTCAAAACAATTGTACTATAATAGTCTCACACCTGAATAATAAGCGCTGAACTCATCGCTGACCGCGTTCTGCGTCTCTGCCTTTAGCGCTTGAAGGGCTCTATGTTCAGTACAAAATCGTATGTTCACTGTATGGAGGCTTCAAAGATATGAACGGTATTGGGCGTACCTAATTAATGGGCGAGTTATTCACTCATATATTGTTAGCGCCATCTTGTGGAAGGAGGGGAGTGGAAGAGGTTGAGAAATACTAGTTTTTTTTTGACCTAACACTTTTTGATCACGAGTGCTAATATTTTCGAGGAACACATTACCATAGCCGTCACACTTTGCATTGCGCGTGTTTCGTACGCTATCTTCAGTACTGTGAGTTGTAAACTAGGGAGGGCAGAAAGCTAAGGTATCGACGATCAGTTTTCGTACTTCCGGGGGGGGGGGTGGGATAATTGAGAAGAAGACCATGGTAAAAGAAGGAAATGAGGCTCGGGGAACCTTACATTGTGTGCTGTGAAAAATTTGTTCAAGATCCGCTTTCTGAAAGCCTATCGTTAAGGTCCTCATTTCTGTGTCTGAGGCGATTACTAAGTGCAGCCAGCAGTTCTGTCGAGTATTCTGTGAGTACGATTTGGTTATAAGAATAGAAAGAAGTGTTTAGTTTGATACGTCACCAATTTTGTGGAACTGTGGCATGTGGTTTTGTTCAGTGCTTAAATCATTGGTTACCATTTCAGTGGTACTTCTGTGAATAAATAATGCTCGTTACTCTCAGGATGCGGATCCGCTAGCGCTACCTGTTCTACCTCAAACAGGGTCATTTACTCAGCTGATTGTCAAATTTGTTGTCCGAAAGGTGTTTACGATTCTAAACAAGTTTGCTGGAGAGGAGAAGTTGGTTTTATTCAGTTTATTGTTTGTCCAGAAGATGCGTACCAAAGTGTGCTACCAAACGTTTCAAACCAAATGCGTTTAGGTTGTGCTTGGATGCGGTGAATTTGCTGACAGGCATGATTGAAGCGTATGCGACCCTACTGGCATCAGAACCAGAACTTTTTGACTACCTTGGACAACTCGACATAGCAGCACTGCCGAGCAGGTTCATACCTTTATTTTGCTATCGGTCTGCTATTTTTGTCATTTTCGGAAATGATCAGTCTAGGAAGTTCGTTAAAAATTTTGGAGCCCAAATAGACTCACGAAATTTTAATAAACGGAAGCTAGTGGTAGATAAGTGAGAAGGTCTTGATGATGACCAATGCAAGGCTAGGCTGGTGTCAGAGTCCGCAATTCGTCGAGAGATTCGCAACACCAGCCTCACGTAGACAATGGCCTTAATCACTTGCAAGCTGGGAATATGAGCGAGATTCTTTTGTGATTAAATTCTGAAGGAGTAAGTGATTTTGATGCTTCCAGAACTCTACTCATGAAGGCTCTAGTCCTCATTGGTGCAGCAACAAATGATCAGAAGCTCCAAGAGAGTATGTCAGCGAGGG